AATATCAAACGAATGTGTTATAATGTATGACAGTATGTTGATTAAACAATAAAATGAATGAATTGTACGAAATTGTTTTGTTCTTCATTTATTCGTTTTGAGCCATAGATCTGATTAGAGAGTGCCAAATGAATGAGCAATATAGAGAGTCCAAACAATCTAAATCAAAATAGAACAAATATTGATTTTTATCATTATGTTTAACAGCATTTCCCTTTTAATTCACAAATCACAATCCGGATATGTTAATTTTTTTATTGTACTCGCGCAAATGTGAACTCTTGCCTTTTTCCGTTTTTCTTTCGTCATTCATTTTTGTTTCATTCCTGCCTCGTTGTATCGGCCTCTTGTCACATTCATTTACAGTAATTTTTGATTGCTGACGTTAAAATTGTTTTCGATTTTTATTATCAATACATTCAACATTGGCGTTATGTCCTTGTGTGTTGTGGCCACTTCCGTTACCATGTATGAGTAGCAAAGTGAATAGACCGATGGCTATTTTTATTTTAACGTCAATCGTTTGATTAATGTTTATACGACAACATTATTGTTGGATGCTATAACGAAGAAAAACGAAACTTCAATGAGTATAGACAATAACCGACTCTCTCCAATCCATAATTAAGTCAATACATCTTTCTGAGAAATTTTCTCATTTAAACGAATTGTCAGTTTACATTGATTGTAAATTTTCCAAAACGATGTGATGTGTGAATAGCACAAGCATCTATTGTATCATCACATGATTACATTTTCTTTCTTTCTTAAAAAAAGTACTGCGTTTCTGGTATTTCAACGGTCACCGCTCAGGTTCGATCATTGATTGTGGAATGGAATGCTTTTAAAAATTTAATCGAAGTTCTTTGCAATCTGTATTGTTACTTTTTCTTATACGATAAATGCTCGTATCAGTCACATGCTGGACAAAATCAGCCATTTACTGGGGTGAAATTGAAAAATATTTTCCATTGAATACACATTTTAACCACAATAGAAACTGATAAGGGAACAATATTTTTGTTTGGTTCATGTGACGTCATGTGAAAATCAATTTTTGTGTGGCTCGTCACGCAGTCATCAGCAATTGCCCATTTTTTTTGGATGTTTAACAAATCTTTTGGGTGATCTATTTATCGATATAATACACATTTTTTTTATCAATACAACTAATTATTTATGTTGAACTTAAGCCATTCATAGACCATTGATAACCAATAACTTCATTTGTACTACATTTTCCGTATGACATTAGCAAATATGCGTTTTCTGTGGCTTTTCTATTATTGAGCCGCTTGACATACAGCGAATTCCATTTTATTGGCATTTGAATATAATTTTGGAAAATGTTATTCGACCGCTGCGAGTGAATGCCATTTTATTGTTTAGACGCTGCGTTCAGATATACCTATATTATAGAAGTATACACACAAAAAAAATCAAATGAAGATGCGGTTATTAAGTAGTCTGCGATCTCAATGCGGTCATATTTTCATCCGTTTTATAGTTTTGTGTTCTAGAATTAACCGCAATTTACCGCATTCATAGTTAATTTGACCACACAATCAAGCACCGTCAAAATCAAGCATTTGATTCACAACGTACGAGTATGACACTCGTACGTCAAAAATATTATTTTATATTTTCTTTAACAAATATTATTTGATAGTATACTATGAATGCGGTAAATTGCGGTCAATTCTAGAACACAAAATTATAAAACGGATGAAAATATGACCGCACACTACCTAATAACCGCATCTTCATTTGATTTAACCGCATATTTTTTTGTATGTAGGAATAGTCAGTGTTTGGTTTGAGACTTAATATCAAATCAAAATTTTCCAAAAGTTTTTGTTGTCGCTGATTTTAACCTCGTAAAACTACCACAAATAATTTTGAGCGACGCTGTATTTTTGATGTGGTCGATTTTTTAAAAATTGTGCTCATTTTTCATTTGTCATTCTGTCCCCTGATCGAAATTTTACGGACGCCCCTTATAGTTAGAGGAATAATAAAGTCTAGGGGCAGAGCAGTACTAGAATAATAATTTTTGTTTAAAGTAATTCTATGTTGTGAGTAGTAATCCATATTAATCCGCAGTAATACACACTTGTGTAAATTCTAACAGCAATGCAATGACGTTTCATGTGTACGTTGTGTATTACATTTGTTAGGAATAAAGCGATCGTCGTATATTGCGGATTGAAACAATTTATTCGATATTTATTAAATTAAATTCGTTATTTTCCATTTTTTAACAATTACTGAAGTCATTTCATACTATCACATTATTATAGTTAGTGTGAAATGATATGGGTTTCAAAGAGAAACACAACAACACCAAATATGTGGTTTTCTATGAAAAATCATTTTCGCTCTCCTAGCCACAGTTTTGGTCGGATATGCTTAAAATTTCGATCCGATAAAAATTGTGGGCAGGAAAATTTGATGTTAGCGTATTTATATAATAGATATGAGACATCATTTAAGATTCAGTAATTATATGAAAAAAATGCAAATGATCACATATAAAGTTTAGCCAACGGTTTTGAATGAAATTCATCGAAATGATTCAGTTATTGGAAAATTCAATATATGTATCAAATATAAAAATGTGTATAGAATGTTAAGTATGTCTTTGAAGGAATCGATTGAATGAATTCTTATGCGATGTCATTGAAAATTCCATGGATAGCATATTGTATCATACGATAACCATCATTATAGACAAACAAAAGGATGTTGCGATTTCATAAGCGAATAATCAATCGGCATAATAATAATGCCTTTGTCGATGTATGAACAACTTGTTCAATCTATTGCTCAACCATGAAATGCAAAGAAAATTTTCACATCCTTTTCATACATATATGTATAAATCCGTAGAGGAAATGGCAAGTGAAGCAGGAAAATAACAGAAATCAATTCAATCATATAGTTTTATAATGTATTTTGTGCGTGTGTGTGTTTATTCATCTCATCAACCAACAACCAATGTATCCAAACACACATGCTCTTTCACTTTGGTTGATTCTTAAACTGGAAAAATGTCGCTCATTCTCTGCCACTGTTTCTCTATTTTCATTCTTTTTACATTACCTTAATTGGCAATTATACTAAAAGCTCTTCTGAAAATGCACAGCGGTTGCGAACACCAATAAAATCACATTAGATATAATTCACTCTTCAGCTGCTCTTGTTGTATATGTTGGCACGGTCATGTACATCGTTTTCTCTTTTTTTTGTTGTGTCTATCCGACTTCACAATCATTAGATAAATCATTGAATGCAAATGTACAGTCAAATGTTTACGAAAATGTGCAAAAGAGAACATTGATCTTATCTTGTCTTGGTTATTTTTTTAAAGTTGAAACATCGAAAAAAGGACATAGCAAATTTAAAAGGGTCGAAAACACCGATCTTTCAAGTGAACAAAAAAATTCAAACCAAATGGTATTTTTTCTGTTTTGCAGACATCACATGGGAAAATTATTTAAGTTGACTGCACGAGGTAGAAAAATAAAACGTTGTCACCATATATATTGCAAACGAACAATAGATTCGCCAAAATATTTACATCAATTCGTTTGCCGCATTCGTTCATCGAAAAACACCTGTGAGTGCATTAAAATTATATTGTATATCATGCAGTATTTGATGAAAGATTGTGTGTTATATTGCAGCCAAAACAGTTGAAAACTACAGCGCCGTTGTAACAACAAAAATCACATGCATATAAAATGAATTAAAATGCACGACCACTCTATACAAATAGCATGTTAGATAGAAGCGTTGTGTGTGTGTGATGAATTGCAAAAAGCACATGCTAAATACAACTCCGGTTGATGTTCGTGACGCTATGATTCCATTGAACAAAGGTGGAGAAAATTTACAGTGAATTTTCCTTTCAATATTTTCCACATAAATTTGTTCGATGCCACACACGCGATACATACAGTAAGCGAATGCGGTGTGCTTTGTTATTCATACCGTATGCTTTTTCCAATGAAAGTGTTTTGTCGCACAAGCTTGTAGACCGCTGGTGTGTTCGTGCTTCTTCGTTTGTTTGTGTGTGTGTGTGTGTGGCATGAAACGGTGAATGGATCGCATCCAGAAAGGGACCGTGTGGCATGCGTTTTCCAACCGAATTGAGATGGTTACTGACGTTTTTGGCTTCGATTTGAATTCGCGCGCTCGAATCGTTTTCGTCGAAAATGGGATGTTATGTGTGTGCGGCTAACGACTACCTACCTACTCAATAGACAGCCCGTCGATGCGATATAGTGGTGTTGTGTATCACAATTTGTTGCTGTATTTTCCGAATTTTGTTGTGTTTCGCTGTTGAATGTTTCAGAACTGAACTGGCAGTTGCGATTGAAATCTGTTGTGAATATGACACGCGTATAACTTTCGCTTGAATAAAACACACATTTTGGGTGCTATTACATTGTTTCAAATATAAAAAATAGTTACACGAAGCCAGTCGAACCGATTTTCGGTGTGTGTGAATATTAAAATAGTTTATACCCGAAAGTTGAATTGAACCTGCGGTGTAAAAAAGAGAAAAACCTATCTCATGCGTTTGGAATTCATTGTGTACATTTAAAAATAAACCGATAAATTGAATTAAACAGTAGAATATTGTGGGTGCGAATTAAATTATGGAATAGAGGTATTAACTGTTGTTTAAAAAAAACATTTGTAATTTCTATGCCTACGAAGTATTGACAATCGCACAATATACATCCATCGTTTGACAAACAGAAAGAGAATAAAAGATAGTTCTTGATGAAATTTGTGATTTAAAGGGTAAAAACGAGCCCACATCATTAGGATAGATGATGAGTAATGTGACCAGTGTCGATCATCGTCACCAGTAAAATCATCTGTGGGTTTAACAAAAAAAGAGCACAATTCCGGAACTTTTGCATTACCAAAATCAAATACCATCCGGTGTGATGTGTATTTTCGAGTGACAAGCTTTATATGTTGTGATCAATAATAATGCTATTATAGAACAACGACTGAATTTGCTGATTTTTAGGAAATTTAAAAGGAAATTAAATCCATATTTTTTTCTCTACATCAAGTGTTTTGTGAATTTGGCTGACAAAAAGAAAGTTGTTTATCATTCATTCTGAATTATTTCAAGAAATTTTTGCGGAAATTTATATTTGGTATACTGTGTGAAGAAAGAGCCCCTTCTCAAAAAAATAATAAACAATTGAACCTTTTTGATCATGACGCATAGCGAAAAAAGTCCAGTCCACCATAAAAGATGTGAAGTAGTGTATTTCTAAAAATAAAAATCTAACTTGTCCGAAATCGTTATCATTTCAAGCAATCGAAATTGACATTGTTGTGTGTGTAAGAGTGAAGAGAGAGAGAGAGAGAGAGAGAGAGAGTGCATCCGATCCCTAAAACTACTATAAATATTCGAAAAGAAAAAGGAAATCATCGAGCTGAAACAGTGCTGAATTGGATGAATAGCGGAAGTTCGGTCATAAATTCGTAACCACAACCATTTCAAAAGTTAGTATAACTGTCCTACAAATACAATTTCAAGATCTCCTTCGAATGAAATAGAATTCCATTTAGTGATGTTGTCTGGGTGGCGCACACAAAATGGATAAATAGTTGTTCATATTCCGTTGAGAATGCAAACGAACTAAGGGCAACTGAACGCACAATATTGAATTTCTGTGGCTTTTGGAGCATTTTTTTCGGAAAATTATATCTAATAACCATTATGCCGGAGAGAAAATGAGCGCGCAATCAAAAGGGTTCTCTTTTTTGTGATATTTTCGGCTTTTCATAGTAAATAAACGCATCGTGTCTTTATTAGCATGTACACTACATAATCGTATATGTCGTATCTGCCCAAGTGTTTCCATCTATTCCGGATATGTATTTTCTGATATTAGCTTCTTTTTTTCATTTGTCGCCATCGCCATACTGATTAAAAAAAAAGAAGAAAAACTATAGTTGCTGCTGATTTGAAAATCGAATAAAAACGATATGTATAGAATGTTTATGAGAAAATGGCAGATGCAATCCATTTAGATTCTTTGTTTAGATATTGTCTGCACGAATGAATAAGTTTGATTTGAATATGAATTTTGCATAAAAACTTAATAAAACTACATCGTACAATGCACAGGATAGACATATAGACTGTTCAACAGTTTGTTAATATTATTCAATCTTTCCTTTGCTCATTCGAATTGAAAAAAACGAGCAAAATCAAATAATAATCAAATTATTCCCTTCGAAAGTTTTCATGCTCCTGTTATGTGTTAACCAAACATGAAAAAATCGATCATGAAGATAGAGAGAGAGAGATAGAGAGAGATGCTCATTTAGGTCATACAATCGACTGCCACGTTATAGAATATTTGATAATCGGCTTGAAAAGAAGAAAGCTTCATCGTCAGTGTATTTATTTATGTTACAATGCTTTAGAGCATGTAGGCGATTTAAATGCTGTCAAATTTAAGACGGTGCGTAAATCGAATTACCAAACGATTTGATGGCTGCCGTAACATCAGGTTTTGTAATCGAATGTTTTATTTTGGCGTTGATGTTAAGCGAATACGCGTCTATAAGTTTGTAGCGAATTTTCGTATAAACGTCTTTTCGTGAAAATTTCGATGGCATATTAAATGGATTCACTTTTTCATAGCGATTTAGCCAAAACATACACGGAATTGGGAAGTAAATAAATGCTATCTATTTGAGTGATTTGTACCGTGAGATTGTTGTCGTTCCACTGAAATGCTTACCCATGCAAAAATTCTGCGAAATTACTCTCTGTCTCTGGTGTGTGTGTGTGTGTGCTCTATCTGCACGCATACCTACCTATAACTTACTCACTCCGCATATGTATCCATCAGATATTTCAATTGTCACGTCTTTTCATATTCGATTTCATTTGAATGAAAAACAAATTTGATTCTACGTTGTATTTTGTCGTTGTTGTTGTTGATGCTTTCATTCAAAATTCGATGTTATTTTTGTCAATTTCTTCGTGACTTTTCAATTTGATTTTCTTACGAATTTTGTTTACCATCAAATTCTATTTTGATACAATCGCAAGTCGTCTGTTTTTTCGATTCAATTTCCAAATCAACATATTATTATTTATATTTATGCAAAAAAAATCGTATTGCGATCATCTATTATATCTGTTATAACGATGAATGGACTGGAAATAAGAAAATCTGAAAGCTCTCTAGCTTTCATTTCTATATTTATTTCTAATTTAGCCTGTAACTCGGCACACGAAGACGTCTCTCGAATTTTAATTGGGACGACACGAAATTTAAAAGAAGAAAAATGGCTGCAAAATTAACAACGGTCACATAAAAATACTTTTGGAAGATTCAATACGAACAACGTAAAAAAAGTCTTCGGTATAAAATGTAAATACACCCAAAATCAAAAGACACAACAAATGCAACAAAAACAAATGGAACCAAAAGTACAAGGATTCATCTGATGTAGACCATGGAGTGTATTTTTTTAAAAATAGAAAGTGAACACAAATGACATAATTTTCTGTAGAAAGTAGTTTATCTATTTTAACCCACTTGCTTTTTTCTTCACTCTTTATCCCTCTTACCCACTTGTTAATTTACTTGTGTATGGAAAATGCAATGTATTCACAAGAGCTGACCGCTCTCTTACCAGTCTATTCATGATACTGTGTGTTCTTGTTATGGCGGCTAGCCGCTGGATAAATACGATGTAAATGCAACACATAAATCCTCATACAAGTAATGAACAGTGCAAAAGTCATGGTAGAAATAACATTTTAATAATTCTATTCGTTATCTTTTCCATTCACGGAATTAATATTGTCTCTTTAATTTTGGTTTCCTTCATTTTTACATGCAACCGAGTATTTTATTTTAAAATCGAACTTTGAGATTTTTCTTTCGAATTTTTACTGGCTTACCGCATATTTGAAACATAATTTGTCCACTAGGTAAAAAATAGACAAAAAGAGATAATTGCAGATGCTAAACTATCATTTATTCGAAATTGCGAATACTGCGTTGATGTATTTTTTAATCATATATTCACTTTGACACTAATTGATCACTACCGGCGTGGTTGGCATGTAGTTTTTCCTCTCCAAAACAGAACCATATTCACACCAACTGTTGAGAATTTACTCTTTTTTTGCAAGTGGCGCATTGCTGCCGATTTTTTCTATTCTATCTGTTCATTGTTAATTGCTTCAAATTCTTTTTTCTTCATCGCTGTTGATATTTTTGGTTACCGACAAACGATTAAATGTACTATGTATTTTTTGTTCTCATTATATTGGTTTTACATTAACATTTTTTTTTTTTGGAAATCGCCAAATTACTTTGTTTGCAGTCGCTCATTTAGAAAAAAACCACTTTAGGAAAAACGGCCCAAAAATGTTTGATTTCTTTACGAATGCGATAGAGAGAACGAGATAAGAATAATGCAAACAATTGGAAAGGTGAGAAAAAAGAACGAGCGAGAGCGGGTGGCGTCGCGTAAAACGACTCAAGTTGTTAATACATATTAAAAGATTGTAATGATGTTACATTGTTGGTGAAATGCCAACGCAAAGGTTTCTTAATGCATAAGACGATGTTAAAGTATCTTTTGATCCCATTGCATAGGTATTTTCGTGTACCAGTGACTGAATCCGATCAAATATATTTACAAGACAAATAAAATTTTGTACACGAGTGAATGAAGAAAATGTGTATTTAAGCATGTGGTTTTTTTTTTCATTCTGTCTGAGTTGCTCGTACCTAACGTTGTAAAGTTAAATCGAAAAATGAAGTGCAGCCGCATAATACCTGTGGTTTTTTTTTTCGATCATAATCAAATGCTGGTGTAAACTCGGTTTATGTTTTCAGCATATATATTTTTATTCTCTTTAGTTCTTTCTGTTTTATCGTCTTTGGGTCTAGATTTCATCGTAATTTTCGTTGCGTTTCTTCTTTTACGGATAAATGAGCGACACATCATGCGCAAAGAGATAGAAGAAATAAGTCCTTCATTTAATGAACGTAACACGAAATACGCTCTTTATTATACGTAAATGTAATTCGTTAGTTTTATTCTGCTTATAGCTCCTCGCCGAACGAATGAAATAGAAATTGTGTAATATAGTGAGCGTTTGTTTGTGTTGCAAATTAATATGATATCCAAACACATTTGGGCCACATTGATGTTTGAAAAAAAAATATGACGATAAAGATTGGGCCCATTTGTTTGTCGGACGCCGCGTGTATTTAGTTTATGTGTCGATATCCTGTATGCGTGAAATAATTGAAAGTGTAACCAAGACGATGATTTACTGCATGCTATGCTACAAGATCATAATTTAAATTCCGTTCTGGCTAGTTAATGCATATATATTTTCATTTCCATCTTAAAGCAATGTTATCTTTGTAATCGTTGGCATTTTTCCTCACTGCCCAAATGAATGTGCTTAGTTGAAGTAAGTAACTATGCACAGTTACTTGACTTATTTTTGTAATCTCCCAAATGATTTGTATTCAGTATGGTACGATAAAGGCACGACTTTTGTTTTACATCCGAAAATGCGATTTGCGCGCAACATTATTATTTTTTTTTCGGCTGTATTTTTTGCATAGTAAACGCGTGAGCGTTAGATTTCTATATGCCTCCCAGCCGAAATAGTAATGAGATGGCGAATGGCATATAAAAGAACCTCGTAAACCAACAGCTACGCTTTAAATAATCAAGTTGGGGTGCGCACAAAGTCTTTAGTACTTGTCCAAATGAAAAGTACTTTAAAGTGATAATGAATATTGAAATGTCGAAGGGCTTTTGTTTGTATTTCCCACCAACATTCTTGAATCAGTTTTATTCCAAATTAAAAAACAATTTTCGTGTATTTTTTCCGCTTCTTTTTTGTGTTTGTAAGACGTTTAAGCATTTTTTTTTCTCATTAAAACTCCACTCGAGCATAAAAAACAATTTTTCGCCCCCGTTGTTGAACTCGAACTGTAACAACATTGGCCTGGCCTGATCAATATTAAATATTGAAATTTTATGAAACACTTTTTTTAAAAATGTTCGGTCCTTTCATAACCATTCGTATAATTTCGCTTAGGCTTACTCTCTTCCCTCTTCCATCTCCTCTCTCTCTCTCTCTCTCCCTCGGTACACTTACCTTTATCTTAACGAAATGGAAACCGCTTACGTCCGGCTGATTTTTACCGTCACACCATTTTCAAAAAAAGTACTGACATCAAATGTAATAATTCTGCTTAAATTGAAATTATTATTTACATAAATATTTATACGGTATGTCGTTGTGCATGAATTACGCTTGAGTATACAGTCTTTGTGAATTAATAGAAAAGTTTGGTGTAGCTTTTGAAAAATTAATGAGTCTGTCATTACACGGGAGTCAGCTGACGCTTCAATTATGTGTGTACGCGCGCTCATTTATTCTTAAGAAAATATACATCGAGCATATCAATCATTGATCGATGCCATTCAATTTCGACAAA